GGCCTCCCATATTTATTCATTTCAATCTCTTGTTCCAACTGTTAATCACCCCTCTATAAATCGCAGTTGTAGACGCATCAGTCAGACGCTCAGAAAATTGACCAATTGCAGACCACTATTCTGCGCTGCTTGGTGGCCGCTATTTAAACCTAGCTCTCTTGTTTTTATTGCAACATTTGACGTGCGACTCCTAAGTTGACTGGCCAGTGATAGGTTATTGTAGGCACTTTGTATACTTTGTCGATAGACACAAGATCCTGTAATGTTATCATCTAGAAACTATGGACCGTGGACTTCGGGTAATTACTCAGCTGCACCGGTGCTCGCATGGTTCTCGTTTATTCGGCGGAGGGTTACACGCTCGAGTGGGCACCTGTGAACAGCTGATGTCCAAACATCCAGATTTATATGGATTCGCAATGATCGGCATGCTAGTCACCCTTAACTTATAGTATACATTTAGGCACCATCATCCGACTCGGTGAAAGACAAATCCTATCCAGAAGTAGCCCTCTCGTTCACCGGGAGCCACTCAAATAGTCGTGATTGATGAAGATTTCAACGCACACATAGGATGCCTCAGCGCCCAAGAGACATTTTGCTTGTGTACGCCAAGCACAATGACACTGGTGAACGCCCTTCGAGAATTCGTACTCTTCGGGACAGATTTGTATTGAGTTTAGCCGCTGTGCTACCTAGAGTCCTGCTACCAAGCAACCATTTCGCTATCAGCTAGAGAGGGCGCAGTTCAGTTCTTGATTACCAGTAAGTCTGAAATAGACACGACTAATTTTGTATTGTAGAATTCCGTCAAAATTTTCCCAGAGAACCTAAGGAAAGAGTGCCATTTGATAGTGGAAAAGGTTTGTGATCCATAAGTTAAACACAGCGAGGCGCCTTTTATAACGCCCAAGTGGTTAGGGCACGAATTAACTGACCGGAAGTTCCGTGGTCCGAGCCCAACTTCCCCTGTCTATGCTTTGGCAACCTGACAGTATCCCAGCCCTCGTGTGGCATGGCAGCTAGGTACCAGAAGTGTTACAGGTGAACGATATATATATATATATATCGTNGAAATAATCACAGCTATATGTGGCTCCGGAAACGTTGATTGTGGTGTATCCAATAAAATACACATAAATCATTGAATTTAGGAGCGGCCAAAATCAATCATGGACAGGAGATGCAGTCTCTTGTCGGGACTGGAACGTAATTCGGTCCGTAAGACAGTTCGGAAGGATCCTTTGTGTGGGACGTCGTGGGAACAGAAGGCCCAAAGTGAAGGGTGACGCAGTAAGGGATGCGCGGAGGCTGTCTCAGCAAATCCGCATAACGAGACTTAAGAGGCCTTCTACTTGTGACTTAATCAAATATATTGGAAATCAGCGTTCAGATGGCTGAAGAAAATATTTTTAACAGCGAATTCGCTAGTCTTTTGCTACCTATCTCAACTCGTGGCTCCTTGCATCTTCGAAAAATCAGACTGTTGGACCCAGCTGACTTCCACCGACATTACTAACATACGGTGGTGAGCCTTCGTTTTTTGACTAATTTGTTTGGACCTAATTAGACGCGCCCCTAGGGTCCCGGAGGACTGGGGACAAAGAAGCTTGAAGCGACTGTAGCAACCAGAGGTACAATCCTCACGCCTGTCATAGCATACGCACTAGCCTCCCTGATATTGAGCGCAGACGAGATGTGAATTCGAGAGCGTCAGGTAGGACCTCCATCCAGCAACGTAAGTGCTGGACGTTCACACAGTTAACAGAAATTGCTGGCGAACAGTCACCATTTCCCTCGCGTTCAAAGGATCCCTAAATTTTGTGGGCAGAATAACACTTCAGTATGCTCGGGCAATTTTCTACTTCACTTCGTGCTTCTTACTATAACGTCCCTCTTCATATAAGTGTTTCCAATGCACGGTCCAAAAGTTTTCCCACTAGTCGGGCTTGCAAAAGACACTCTGCGTTCAATCTTGTCATTGATACAAACATTGAATACACCCTTCAGTGGACTGTAAACCTAGAAATCGAAATAGCACCCGGAGAAAACTTAGTCGATTCGAATCTTACTGACGATTCGATGGTCATTAATTTGCAGAATCAACTTTAAGTGGAATGCGTGTTTCGGGATGTTTTTCACCTTTACATTACGACGCTCTGTTCTAGGCGTCCTGATGGAACTTCAAAGTCACGAGGTTGAGTGTTGACTAGTTTACGTGTCGTCAGCTAAATCGGCCGTGATTGTGACATATCGAGTTACCGAACGCAACAAGATAGCCCGAGAAACATCTGCAAACTCGTGTCATTTGTGGCGAAAAAGACGAATTTCGGTGAAGTAAATGTAACATAAATCTCAGTGGCTGTGGAACTTAGTCCATGAGGTCTCAAGACCCTGAGTACCTCCAAATCTTTGGTCATCGGTGCCTTCATAGCATGGCCGAAGTCAGCTGGCTGGAGCGTGTACGCGACAAAGAGATGCGTGAGCGAGTTAATGAAACCGAATCACTAAGCTGGCCACTGAGACCTATCACGATGTGGTTGGGAATGGTCGAAAACCGCATACGGAAGGCGGTTTTTTGATTCCAAACTTATAGTGGTGAAAGATTAGAAGAAGGTAAGCCAGGACATGGCTGTGCGAAATTTAGGCAGTAAGAATAAACTGGATGTTGTAGAATGCCTGTGCTCCTCTGACTGATATCCACGTGATTCATCCTGGACGTCGTCTGCAAGGATAAGCACTCAACCAAATCCAGTGGCGTTCATGTCACGTTCTAACGGGACCGCATGGTCAAATTCAATCTATGTTTATGTGTTGAAATTTTGCTAGATGAAACTAGCAAAGCAGGTTGGGCGAATCCAGCTGACAGCGTCTTACTCCGATATGCCGCACAGGCACCTTGGCCTTTATCGTTTTCCTTACAGGTATAGAGACTTTTCAGTGAGTCCCCACACTTTTCCCTTCCTAGAATAGTTTACTGATCCACACTCCTCGCGGTTGTACGGTGGTCACATTGCTGTCGATGATGATGATGAAGACTACCTTCAATGGTTGTTGTCGGGGGAAAATCTATTGCGGGTCCTGGAGTTATTTTTACTTGTTCAATTGAATAACAAGACTGTTAAGATCAGTTTGCACATTCTGTAGAACTAGACAGATAGTAGAAACATGTAGTATATTATTATCATTATTCAAGCGTTCTCGTCTGAAGTGTTCCCTCTAAAAGGAGACTCCAGAGAAGAAAATCAGGATTAGGAAACTTTACTCTATCTTGGGAATTTCTCCATAAAGGAAGAACACTACAACGATTATGTTTGATGACCCCGATTAACCTGGGAAGTCGGTAAAACACAAGACCTTGACAGGGAGGCCACGATAACACGCATCAGTTTGTGTGGTGGCAACTTTGTGAAAATGACAATGAGTTACCCTAAATAGGTTTTCCAGCACCGCATAAAATAACTATTCGTATAGCAGAGTGCTCCATGCTCATAAGAAAACTTCTTCCAGGAAATACCTTAATGAGATGGTTTCTCAATTACTAATCTTAGCACGATGTATACAGAATTTCATCTTTATAAGACATCATATTGAAGGATATTTCTGCACCGTCACTCCCCCGTAATAGCGAAATACTCCAATAGCCTCCAAAGTACCACTGAAGTGCAAGTAAAGGATTCTCCTCATTAGTGTTTGGTAGTTTCCCATGCAACCTTGATCACGTCTCGCTAGCTGGAAGCACACACCTGGTAAGTCCCATGAATAACAACGCAAGATACAAAAACGATCAGTTTGTGGTTGAAGCGGTTAACGTCATTTGTTCAACCGTGGTACAGCAGAAGACTGTACTAACAGTTTACCAAAGGAACTGTTTGTCTCTCGCCAAAAAATCAAGGGTACGTGTCTCCGTTTGTTGGGATAGAGCTGTCAGGATATAAACCATGAACCATTTAAGGGGTGCAGTTGGCAATGTTGTCAAATGCGATAAGGACCAGTTTCGTGTGCATGTGGTCTGTGAAGGCCATATTGGGAACCAACATTGCATCAAGACTTGTGCATACCTGGTAAATAATCATCGGCACTTGGAAGTATCTATTTAAAGTAGTTCCGACACCAACTAGTCCTCTCGCGGAAGTGAACGAAAGTCAAAACAGACTGAGATCATACAACGTTATGAAATCGCCTTCAGAAGTGAATAGATTTTTGGGTAGAAGAAACACACATGTGTTGGAAAAAAATACTCACATAGTGCAGATAGCATTTATCTCTAGCAGAAGCCGACATATCGGTTCTCAAAGCCTATGTTAATGATTCCTAAGTTAAGCAGTTGGATCCCTGTCCACAAGATAAACTGTCTACCGATATTAACCCATCAAATTTGTTCAGATAGGAACGGGATTCCGATACAGTACTCGTTACTAGCGTGTGCCTGGTTAGGCACCGTAGAGGGCGTCGAAATCGTCTCCCAGTTCCACTGGGAGAACATCGGACTGCAGTGAATGTGTATTCGCTCGACTGTATTCATCTGTCAGGCAGTAGAGAATCGTGTGACGATGAGCGTTGACCGAAAAACTTTCGAACAAGAGTTTGTTCGTTTTCCAATGTCACCCGTCGATACTACCGGCCTTGTTGCTTTATTCCGGATAGGCTAATGCGCCTGTAACTTTTGTGTACGTTCGTTCATGTGGCTAAGATTTTACAACAGTGAGTTATAACGGGCATGGAAATACACAAGTCTTACGAGTCCATATCCAATGTTCAGAGTTTTTGAAAAGGAATGCCGGATGAATTAAAGGATTGAAGGATGAACTGCAATACGCGAACTGGGGAGTTTCACTTTCGAAAATATCAGTGCCAGTGGCTCCAGAGCAGCCACTTCTAAAAGAGATTGTCAGGGCGCGCCCAGACAGAAGAAAAAGCACATGTGCAGAGAGTGACGCATCCCCACCCACGATAAAACAGAGATGCTCACGATAAAGTAATTAAAATTGTTAAACCATTCATCGCAGTACAAGTTTACAACAATTTATCAAAAAGCATGGCACAAAATGTATATATACCGACCGTATCGCCGGTGAGTTAGGAAATGGGCGTGAAAAAAGCGGCCACACTCACGATAGCCCCAGACGTGTAGCAACAGATTTTTCAAGGACGGATGCGCATCAAAAAGATGATCAAACAAGGTGATGAAGGTGGGTTTCCGAGACGAAGTTCGTTTGAGGCCATCAAACCTTTCGTTTAACCACCTAGCGGGGTTGTCATAAAACTCATCAGCCTCATCGTAGTGAACCCGTCGCTGCCCGTCAAACCATAAGGAAAGATCCGGATCGCAATTCAACTGTTTGAAACTGACGTTCAGATGGATAAAGCTGAAAACAGAGAATTTGGTGATAATTCAAATGCATGACTGCAGCATATCAGGTAGATGAATAACAAAACCTTTCGCCGCAATATAAGAAAACGACGATAGGAAGAGTCATTGTCCTTATAAGAGCAAGGAACACCAACGCACTTCCCAGAAAGGTTGCTTCAGCAGTGTGTGAAACACTACAAGGATCACTCGATTTCCCATGTTTCAGACCACATTGGGACATTTGAACTTTTGATACGCGCCATCATCAGAGGTGTTCATCAAATTATTGTCAGTCTCAATACGATACGAAAATGACTTACGATAAATCTCATTGAATGTGAGAACATATGAGGCATGCTGTGTCATTCGTCTTCTAGTGCCCATGTGACTCTGTGCTTGGATGGAGGTGCTAAAAGCTATGGCGGCCAACCGATGTTAGTGACGTTCATGCATATCAGTTTTAATTCAGATTGCCTGATTAAGTGTTGAAGGTGTATGAATCCCGGATGCCTGTGGTAGTCCAACCAACTGTCCCCATCTCCCTAATGATGTTCTCACCCTATTGGAGGAATTTGGCCACGGCCTAATGGGTTTTCAGTAATAGACCAGACCTAGGAAGATTGGAATGTAGTTTTCGTCAAAAAAATAACTGAGTTAATATAATATAATACCTTATTCTGCATCACAGTGGCTATTTTGAACACAAGCCCACTGGCATAGCTCGAAGTCCGACAACAGATACTAATCTACGAATTAAGTGTGAAAACTTCCCCCTCTTATCTTGGCTGTTAGTCAGTATATCATACTTTTAACGTTTATTTTAGCCTGTCTAGTTTAAACAGAGTAATGTCTGGGGGCCTGAAGGACTGAGGCTAATATCACTTAACTGTGCCACTAATTTTCAGTGCCACAGCACGTACTTCAGTGCACCGAGGTAAACTGATTCCTCGAAAGATGTAACAGTGAAGCACTTATTTTCGTGGACAGGACCATTTCAATCTGAGAAGTCACAAGAACCTATCCTGAGAATACCAGCTGTCTGTGTACAGGCTGCAGCGGACGTATTCGTTGATCCCAACACAAACGGTACGTGTAGTTCCTAAGTCTAAAAATTTCCGGCAAGATCAAAATAGCTTCTTGGCTCTTCAGTCAAATTGACTGAAGAATTATTCCAGGTATAATGATGCGGTCTCAAGCAAATTAGTTCTCAAACAACTGAATATTATGCACATCGCGCTGGGTATGAGTTGTCACCATAAATCCGCAAATAATGTTAGTGACACCCATGAACTTACCTAACTGGAGGCAGAGTGTGACACGGCATCAGTGCGAGTATCGACACATTTTCAGAGAGAATTTCACGGTTGGTTGGAAATCGACGTTGTATAGCTTTTCGCAAAGCGGAAACCGTATCTATCGGGCCACGTTGGTGGATGAGACATGTGTACAGTGCGACTGGGATGTGGGTCACAGCGATGAGATTAGAACGGAGGCGTATTAGTCGAACAGAGCCCTGAGCAGTTGAACTGAACCGCTGGGCAAGGTAANGTGTGTGTGGCACGGGCAGAAAAATATGCTCCCAAAGGTAGTAACGGGAACAAGAAGCGAAACTCTTTATGAGCTAGGAGACTGGAATGAGAGAGAGAAAAAACTGACAAACCAGCAGCGAATTTAACCACTGAAACAAAAGTCAAACTGTTAGATGATAAGATTCAAATGTGTCCGTTTTTGTAGAGCTGGTGAGAAATAAAACTGCCATGACGTTATTGTTTTACGTGAAAAAACAGATGGGGTTCTCGTAACCGAGCAAACTACGCCATATGTCAGCCTCCAAAAGCTTGAGTGTGTTAAAAACTGCATCTAGTTAAAATATTCTAATATTCATAAGTTTCTCTAGGTTGATTAGCCAAGCCCATAACCTATACTCATTGTTCGGGCAAACAAAGTAATTCATATCAAAGGGCTTCAAAGAAGTAGGAAGGAATTGTTCTCGAACAAGAAGACTCCATATCCACTATTAGTTTCCGATTCACGCAAGGAGCATTTTCACCCTGTGCAAGAGTTAATCGCAAGTCATTGACGTTACCATATGAATTAGAATAGATCGCATAGTGACAGACTGACAAGTGAAATTTGAACTTCATCACAGAAAACTAAATGAGGATTCATGGGGACGGTGTAAGCTATCTATTTCTCGGGAGACAAAGTGTTTCCCGACATTTTCTACACCTCTGCGCAGAATTATCAACCGTTGAAGAATAAATGTTTTTTACTGCCACGCTCACTTGGCCATACCCATATTGGTTTAGGGATACCACACACAGGATAACAAGCCAATCAACAACGGAAACAGGGGCCCAGTTAAGAAAATCTTATTCGTTTGGAAATTTTGTCACAAACTAGGTTCGTCATACTATCAATGCAACCCATATCGCTGTTACCAATAAGTGTTAGGTCAGGGATGTCCTGGAAACTACCTTTGGAGCCGAGAACACTCCATAATAAGTTCACATTTATAGGAAGGAAGCAGAGTCACACTGTGTTGTAATTTTGATAATGCCATGGTGACGTCCCAAGCACCAACTATACGTCCACGTTCATGTTTCTTGGTAAAATATTGTTCCCTCTTCTGTTAAAAAGATAAGCACACTGGATTCTGATTAGCTGTAGCAAATAGTACGCCAAAATATAACAGTAAAAGCCTACTGGATTGTGTTGTTTGAGAGCCCACGGAGCCAGGGAGGGATCATTCGATGACTAGGGTCCGGGGAAAGAGAACGGACAAGTAAAATTTCGTGTTCATCATTTCTTTCGCCTTAAATGAAGGAATCAGTGTACGACTCCACCTTGTTAAGAGGTTGAGAAAACATCCAGAATGGAATAATATCACGTATCGAAACAGACAACTAACAAGCAGTCTTGAAGCAGTCCAATTTCAGCCTCTGGCATTCGTGCCCTACTGAGCACGATAAGGTCCCAGTCCTAATAAGCGGGTAGAATATACATTTCAACGTGAAGCACTAGTTCGTTCCCTCATATGAAGTCTAGCTCACGGAGCCCATGCAATGTACGAAGCACCTGATAGGAAGCAGTCTGCTGGGGTACCACACACGGCATATAACAAGTTGGTAAACCAGCGACAGACGGTCAGTGCTACAGAACATGTAGAAGAGTATACCGGTTGTTGGTAAATACCTGTAGCAGAAGACCGTCCAGGTGCCGACGAAAATCAACAGTATGGTGACACGCCGTCTGAAGACAAAACGTTGATCGTTCGCCCAGTCTGTTTGTGACCCATCAACAAGTGCCCCAATCAGTACTAATGGAGTCTGGGTCCACAGAATAGCCATAATACCTTGACTAAGGTACCAGTGCCAGGGATGGACACCATAGGCCTGTGACCCGCCAGTAAGAAAGTTGAACCGGAAGAAATTCCACTGATCTACAGTCCATCGGCCGAAAGCCCAGCGATCTGCGAGACATGATAGGGCCAACCACAATATGCCAACAAAGCAGTAAGTTTTCAAAAGCTTCCCAAACGGAGAACTGACAGAACATGTAGAAGAGTATACCGGTTGTTGGTAAATACCTGTAGCAGAAGACCGTCCAGGTGCCGACGAAAATCAACAGTATGGTGACACGCCGTCTGAAGACAAAACGTTGATCGTTCGCCCAGTCTGTTTGTGACCCATCAACAAGTGCCCCAATCAGTACTAATGGAGTCTGGGTCCACAGAATAGCCATAATACCTTGACTAAGGTACCAGTGCCAGGGATGGACACCATAGGCCTGTGACCCGCCAGTAAGAAAGTTGAACCGGAAGAAATTCCACTGATCTACAGTCCATCGGCCGAAAGCCCAGCGATCTGCGAGACATGATAGGGCCAACCACAATATGCCAACAAAGCAGTAAGTTTTCAAAAGCTTTCCAAACGGAGAACTGAATGAATTCTACAAAGAAAGTAGAAAAAAAGAAACGCGATCAGTCTTTTCAGAGCGACTCTACGTGCAAGCACCAAATACCATCAAACTACAGATGTACGATTTGCCTCCCTGTGGAAAGGACGAACGAACGGACTAAATTACTGTCTCCCAAGAGGGTCACAACAATGAGACGCAAATTGGTGTTACCAACAGCGTGACACACCTGTGAAACAGATCACACAGTTGACCATTCCGAAGCCTTCAGGATTCTGTTGCGGGAAACAAAATCAGAAGCTGTCGGCCTTCTGAGGATCATAACCTTTGGAGCGTCTCGAGGCGAATTCGTTGGAGTGAAGCATCTTCGCTTCTGCATTTATTGGAAATAACGATTTAGGGCAAGCGCAGACCAGAAATCCGAGGCGGTGACTTATGGAATTTGAATTAGGACCACAGCTCACACCAAACTTTTGCCACAATTTTGCACAAGGGGAGATGCATACATTTCTAGGAAATAAAGGGGGAAAAACAGTTTTCGATGTCTGAAAATGGTCGTAAAGTTGATTCGTCCTTGGAAACTCAGTCAGTGTTCACCCTTGCGTCGTTCCATGTATTTATTAAACTATTTCGAGCCCCTGAAATCTTAGTCTTCACAGAGGCGTTTCTTCTTGAAGTGTTTGAATGTCCAACTCATCATAAACTTAAACGACAACCCTTTTAGTCAACCAAATTCACTGTCCAACTGCTATCTTAAACTAAACAAGTCTTTGGTCATCAGTAGGCCGGAACTTCCATCTTGGTCATGTTACCTAGGTAGTGAATCTCGTGTTTACCTATTGGAAGGATCTCGGGGTCCCTTAGAACGATCAGAACAACCACAGTTCGTGCTTTATATTTTAATACTAGTAAGGTTGATGGAAACTCTGGCTGATGTTTCTAAGAATATTAAGCGACCAAACCAAAACTTCATGCTTGCAGATGATGCGACCGATGTGCTTAATAAATCCGCCTTTTTAGGCGGCTAAGCTTGTCAACGACGAAAGCAATTACGGAATCGAGAATACAACCTTTCGATGCATAGGTATCTTGCAACTCAAGGACTGAGCAACTACCAGTTGCCGAAGCCTAGACAGGTACAACGCGATAATGGAAGCCCAAAAATTGTGTGATGAACGGATGCGGTGGAAAACCTTCAGGAATACAGTGACGCAAAAAACTGCTTACGATTTAGCCAGCTTCAGATCGTTCTTACCAAGAACTCGGAAGAGGTGCAATAAACACAATGGAATCCAGGTCACAGCAGCCGTAGGACGTAGTACGACGCATCCAATAGCGACAAAGATGAACCACATCGGAGACCGACTTGACCGAATAGACGGTGATTTGCCGCAAACATCCAGCCATGGGTATTGGGAGAGAGCAATCATTGTCAGACACCACTCCAAACAGTTGGCAAGGGTACGTGGACAGCAGTAGAAGGTGAACCAGTTTAAAGCCTGATGTAACAGCGCCAACTGTTAAAAAAAGTACAGAGTGGCCAAATATACTCAGAACCACGTATTAGTTACTTGGGGCAGAAATGAATAAGAGAAAGCACTAAAGGAGGAACTGTGTCTGCCGACATACGCGCACTACGTAGACTCACAGAAAACACAGAGATTTGCATAACAGTCATGCTCCTTTGGAGAATACTTCATTCAGTTAATCCAGGTGGTCCATGGAGTTAGGAGCAAAAATGAGTATAAATTTCCCAAAAATCACCTCTGTGGACCTAGTGTTTGAAGGAAGGCTGCAAATTCTACGTTACAAGGCCGTACAAACAAGCGCCGATGGAAAAGTATAAATTTCCCAAAAATCACCTCTGTGGACCTAGTGTTTGAAGGAAGGCTGCAAATTCTACGTTACAAGGCCGTACAAACAAGCGCCGATGGAAAACTAATAGAGTGATTGAAAATCAGGTTAAGTAATGCTCCACTAAGAGTACATCTATGAGATACGTGGACAGAACGTTCCTTACGGATTTTCACAAGCTCCGTACAGTCTGTTAGAAGAGTATAGTAAAATACTGTACCCACTCCATGTCCAAAGAAACTGGCGTTCAGGCATTAGGTTTACTGCTCGTGTACAAATACCAAGATGTATGTAGTCTTTCAGTTTACTTCCTTTTTGAAGTACTCAAGTATTCACGCAAACACAAGGTATAGCAAAATCCACCACCCGAACGGATAATGACCGATTACTTGTTTTGTTACGACAGAATAAAAGCCAACGGAAATCCTCAATCCAACTGGAATTGTTCCGTTTATACAAGGTTTACGATTATAGGCAGCCTGGGAAGAATGGGCGGTGAAGCGTACAAGAGCCTGAAAGTTCAGAGAAAGTATCAAACAACCCAAGTCAAACTAATATGAACAATCTTCATCTACAAGAGACGGAGCAGTTCATCTATAAAAAAGACATCCAAATGACCAATCGAACCTTGCCGTGGAGACGTTCTGATCGGATCGGTCAATTCACCTATCCGCTCACTTTTTGCACCCGTAATCACCATCTGCAAGCTAAATCAGTGGATTTCCACGAACGTAAAACTACGTTAATTTACAGATTTCCCAGACACTCTTATCGACACTGTTTGTATGCCACTAAAAGGATATCAGTTCAGTACTTGCCAGCTGATTGTCATTAGTACAACAATCCTTCTCAGCTGCGAGCCGTGTGCGTGAACAGTTGACATGTTAGGGCGGGGAAAACAAATTTATTCTGCCCTTATATGGATCAAATGGAGGACTTCGTACCGCAGTCAAGCATCATTTGAACAGCTTCAGTTCCAGGACGACTTTGGACTAACCTAGTGTGGCGTTTGAGAGAAATACGAGGGTTAAATATCTCGTTCTGAAATATTCTTCGTAGTATCCCGCCAATGCACCAAGACATTGAGAAGGACGGTGAACAAGATAGACATTTCGCGTGCTACCTCACTAACATCTGATTGTTAGCTGGAGAAATTTCGAACCCGGATTCCTTTAGACGAGAAAGTCTGCTCCATTTGCGCTGCTGGATTACTTTTAAGTGTTTCACGCTCAATTCACCGACTATCTTTCAGTTAATGCTTCAACTCTCTTCGGCTTTTGTTGCATTAATGGCTGGCGTTCGAATCCGATCAGTCGGTCAACAGCGTCAAATCAGTGAACATCTGTGCATAAAGAGAGAGTCATAGATCTAGTCGAATATGACGGTGCACGCAAGCGCCGATGTAGACTCGAGGAAATAAGATCGTCAGGCAAACCATCGGCTAGCCTAAATTTGACGGCAAAATAAATAGAACACCATTTTCTTGGTTATCAATGGAATACCGACACCACCAATCAATTATCACGTTTGCTGCGCCATACCGCACTTTCCCCAGTACATCACAATCCAGAGAGCGTCCAGTTAACAAGACCCCAGGGTGGTAATAGGTAAACCGGCGGTAACTCACTAGTCCTATGGTTAATGATGGTTAACGAGTACTGTAGCGGATGGTTACCTACTAGAAAAAGGAACACACCTCGGTTCCGAATTACGCAGCTGGACCGATGGGCACGCTCATGACTCTTAAGACCGATCTTACTAAGGTATGTGCATCTGCGTGTTGCGCAAACATACGGTCGAGGCTGCAGTGAAAACAGTAAATCCTTTCCGAATGCCTCCTCCGTTTTCCAGTCTACTGATACGTCACGTCTCATAGCTTCTCGAGCCTGCGCGGATAGTCGTTCTTCAAGCCGTTCTGTCAAGTATCAGGATATCCCGTTGTCTAAAATGGCGAAGTTTCGGGCACATCAGTTTCAAACTTAATTCTTCAGCTGATTGTAGATAAGATATTTAGGGATGGGAGTTTAGGCCATACATTTCATCTGCTCTAACAACAGGGCTGGTTGCACATTGGAAGAAGTTCAACTCCGAAGGATGTCAGTGTTGCCGATTCGCCTTTCCGTTTGACCCGGAAGATTTCGTGCGAACTTTGAAAGTGTGTTCGGTCGGGAAGCCGAATATGTCCTTTATATGGCGTCCAGGTTTTGCCGCGGTGCACCAGTGAAGCCAAAATAACAGCTTGGTGTACACGTGTAAGTGGCTATTGCCGCAAATGCGTCTCTCAGGGCGACCTAATGTCCCACCGGCTTTTGCAATCGGTTTGTTTATTTCATTATCAAGTGCCAGGTTTGAAGACAGTATGTTGGTAAGACATACAGTGAGACACGTAAGGAGCATCGGCGTTCTTTTAGGAGAGATGGTGGTCTGAGAGCGGTTCACTGTGTGCAGCTGCAGTTTCGTATCACCAACCTTTTTTAAGCATCTCGCGTTGCCCTTCCAAATGTGCCCCAGCAACTGTTTAAAGCGATCCAATCAAGCTCTTGGCCTGGAACTGAGAGCGATTTCGCTTCTCTGCTTTGTTACCGTCAGAGACTGTCAGAGGGTAACGCTGATGTGAAACATTCTTTGTATGTTCATCAGAGACGATAACAATAGCGGGATAACATATTCGGGTTTCGGAGGTGATGAATGGCAAACCCTGATTTCGAGAGAATGCTTGCTAGAGCACCTTACTGACCAATCTATTTGAGAATGCGAAAATAGGATGCGCCCAAGTCAAGAAGAAAGGCGGTGGGAGATCATGCCCTGACTGTCAAGAAAAGGTAACTTCTGGTATTTTCCAGTCATCTAAATCGCGGACCAACTTGAGGGTTCCACTTTGGGCCTCCGGCTGCAAAAATCGGAACTGCCAAGCAGCAATTTTCGTATTTTTCTCGGAGAACCGCGATAGAAACAAAGAACCCAATTCTGACTGTTGAGTCATGAAAGTCTCACTCCTAATCATACTGGGTGTACCGGGTGGTGCTTGAATGGCTTGGAATTTCTGGTTTTTGGAGGTGCCCGACAAAAGAGAATATGTAGATGGTCACGGTGGATTGTCGGGGGATTAGACCGGGCAGTATTCTCGAACGATCTTTTTTAACATGCCTACTCGCTGCAGCATTTCTTCTAAAAATATGAGAATACTAGTTGGCTGAAGGAAGCACTCCCGCCGCCCAGCCCTTATCTTGATTTTGCCTCGTCTAACGATTAGCGGTATAACGGGTACCCAACGCCATTTGTCGAGGATTGGAGCTGTGTGGGTTACTCGGATAACGCACTGGAGTAGGTGAGCAAAAATCAGCGAAATGGGACAAGATGTGAGGCTTCCGTTGATTTATCTCCGGGACATTATGCGGTATACAATGTACTTACAACGGTAAAGGGGGCTGATGCACAATGAGAAAGAGTGCAAGCTCACCTTTGCTGTTTCTAACCCACTCACTATCACTGCAAATCGATATAAATGAAGATCTGCAGCTGCTGCTAAAACAGCGTGAAACAAACGTGGAACCAGAACAACGAAGGTACGCGAGTCCAAACCGAAGACGGAGCCAAGATTATAAAGCACAGAAAATATTAGAGGATGAAGAGGACTCCGTAGGGCAGTTTCCGGCCACCATTCCCAAGTCAGTGTACCGTAGCTGGAAAGTGAGAAGAGAAAGTTAAAAAACGATATATATGCATATATATATATATATATATATATATATATATATATATATATATATATATATATATATATAT